AGGGGGGTATGTAACCCAAGGTTCCCTTAATTCCTAGGTACCTACCCCCCACCCATGAACCCGCCCCCCTTAAGGACCCTACATCTATTGGTTCATGCTGCAACCATTGGTCCGAAGAACCTCAGAGCTCCAGGCATACAGCCTCGGGTTGAAGGGTTTAGAGGTTTAGAGGTTTAGAGGTTTAGAGGTTTAGGGTTTAAGGTTTAGGGTTTAGCTTGCCGCCTCCTCATGTGCTTCCCTGTGTGCCTTCTTCGCGCACTTGGCATGAAAACCCGGCCTCGTACCAACCATGAAGAAGCGCCTTGCTGCCAGATCTGGCGGTATGTGGTGGTGGGCAGCGCTATTGCTGGGAGCCTAGAAATCGCTTTCTGGGTCTACTCGCAGGGTTTCGGGTGACCTTGGGGACAATCTTTGGGTTTAGGGATTAAGGTATTAGCAAAAACTTAGAAAGCCCTGCAGATTGCTTAGATGTATCGGGACAACTTCTGGGAGATCCTGGCTTAGAACACCACTAGGACGGGCCCAGAAGATGTGTGCATGTAAAGAGTCCCCTTCGAAAGTGAGCTCAAAGGGCTGACGTGTCCTATCTGGGCCCTGAAACTGGTGCAGGGGTGCTAGGGTTTCCGTGGATCTTTCTTTAGTTGCTTCTGGACAGCTCCGTGCCTTGCAGCTGCAGCAGGCCCCGTGTCTAGGACCCGGGGTAGGTCTTTCATTCCCATTTTTTGGGGGCGGTTTAGGTTCCCTTCTAAGCCCCTTTACACCCACAAGGGTGTCCAGCTGTAGGTGTGGTGAATTGTGAGATTTTTTGTGAGTTTCAACGTGCTGGGTCGACAAATTGGCAACGTCTGCGGATGAGTTCGCACATGCACTGACCTTCTCTTCCCAGCCCAGATCAGCAGAAGCCTTAGGTACCCTAAGCTACAAAAGGGGTGCTTTCTGGGAACCTGCCAGGGGATCGACACGACACTGGACCCTAAACCCTAAACCCTGCTGCTTTCTAATTACTCCCAAAGTTTTGGGAAATTGAAGTCCAACACCTTGCGTAGCCAAGTGTTGGGTTTCAGGTTTTCGGGTTTAGTTTTAAGGGTTTAGGGCGAAACCTGACATTAGCTTCCCCAACCAAACCTAAACCTGACCCCTCATATAACCCTGAACCAGATGAGGAGGATGTCCTGTCCGCGGCTCCCCTGGAGGCGGTGATGGCATTTCTGGGGCAAATGCGCTCAGACTTCGAGGCCCGGCTGCGGGCCCAAGAGGCCGAGCTTCAGCGCCTGCGAGTCGCTGGCAGGTTGGGATGTCAGGAGGCAGTCGCAAGCAGAGGATGGCTGCGCCATCCTGCTGTTCCAGCAGGATTTCCGCCGTACCCAACCGAGGCGGACCTGAAGGCGAAGGCGCCCCAGTCGGCTGAAGCCTGGCGGCGGGCCGACCTAAGTCCCAAGTATCGAGAGGCAGATGCAGCTGAAACCCAAAACCCTCATCACCCTAATCACCCTAGTCACCCTAATCACCCTAATCACCCTAATCACCCTAATCACCCTAATCACCCTAATCACCCCAATCACCCTAATCACCCTAATCACCCTAGTCACCCTAAACCCTACACCTTAATGACCAAAGCCCAAGCAAGAGGTCGGCGCCATCCTCACCCCCTCCACGGCAGCTCGGAATGCACATCAGGGCCCAAGCTTGCCAAGCCTTACTAGGAACCTGAACTTGGAGGACCCCGGCGCAAATAATCACCAATGGGGTTTAGGGTTTAGGGTTTTGGGTTTAGGGTTTAGGCTTTAGGGTTTACTTGGAGGACCGGCGCACTTAGTAAGTAGGGCTATAAGTACCTCAATTAGGCTTGTAAGAAATTACAAGTATAGTTACCGTACTTGCAACCCCACTTGCGAAGTCCCCTGATCCTTTAAGAAATGTTCGTTTATGTAGGTTTGGGGTTACCGGGGTCTCGGGTATTGTTAGAGTAGTATTCTAGCACACTTATAAGTAGCTTAGAAGATATAAGCTTCCGGTATGATACTGAATAGGCAAGGTTTGGGGTTCTTAGGGAGGCTTTGACGTTGAGGGCTACAAGCTTAGCTTTCCGGCATTAAGACATTGGAGTCACCACAGGATACCAGTTATCGTAAGTAAGATGTTTCAATGCATTCTCCTGTTCATTGCCCTTCGGCATGTCCTCCACTTTCAGTATAGATCTAGGTGGTCTTGTTACAGGCGTCGAGTGGTTTCGTGGCAATCGTACAGAAATCCTGAACCTCCTGAAACTCTTTGATCAACCGACCCTGCCTTGTGAACGTCGCTCGTATGTGTTTACGGCGGCTGCCCGAAAGAGTATTGACACCACGACATATGCGAGTGTAGGAAGCAAGTAGTGTCGGCACCGCTGGAGCGGCGCTGTGATTCAATCCAAGCATTTGCCTGAAAGCCACCGAAACTCTAACCCTGATGCTTTAAGGGTCCCAAGAACTATTGCTACACGGGGAAGAATTCTGCCTACGAAAGCCAGAAAGAAGTACTCAAAGTACGAGGCTCTCGTCCGAATTAGAGGCCACATCCCCCCAAAAATCGTCAACTTCCTGTAGGTTAGTGGTTTGGAGTTTTGGGTTTAGGGTTTATCTAGGGCTTCGGGCTTAGGGCTTGGGGTACAAAAGGGTGGTAAAATAATAATAATAATAAAAATAATAATAATAATAATAATAATTAATAATAATAATAATAAGACCCAAGCAGAATGGATGTCACAGATTTGCCTGCAAGGATCCCGTGACGCAGCTGCTGCTGTCGGGCGCGCTGCAGCTACCTTAGAGTGCCTTTCCAACCTCAGCAGGAGAAGCCATCTTATTTGAGGGAAGTCAGGGTTTAGGGGTTTGGGGTTTAGGGTTTAGGGTTTAGGGTTTAGGGTTTAGGGTTTAGGGTTTAGGGTTTAGGGTTTGGGGGTGCTTGGTTCCTTAGTATGGACATGAACACTGCTCAGACCTGCGAAAGCCAGGGAGTTGTGTTCGTGCCCATGGTCTTGGAGGCCACTGGGACGTGGGAGAAAGGTGCGGCCTTTGTGCTCCGGCACATCTCGCGAGCGGTGGCCTCGCGACAGGGCGAGGAGCCGAGGAGCCGGCCGCTGTCCATGCCACACTGCTCCAGGAGCTTTGTGTCCTCGCGCGCGGCTTCCGGGCCAGAGCTGCAATGAGACGCAGGAGTGAAGTCGTTGCCTATCTGGCCAGCCACTGGAAACCTTGCTCGTGAAGCTTCCTCCGCCTCCCACAGACTCTCGCATGCCTGCCGGGCCTCCGCTGGGTCTTACGTCGTGTTACGGCCCTTCGGCATGCATGGTGCTTGAGTTCTCAAGGGACGCCGGAAACTCACGCGGGTGTCGGGGGCCTCGCCCTACGGCCCACCATGCCCTCTGCTGCGTTGTCGGGGTGGACGTATCCCGCATCACTGGGTGTTTCACGCAGTTTTTCATGTTGCCCTAGTGCTGCTCCTGGAGCCCAACGTGGCGGAGCTACTTGTAGTTTAGGGGGCAGGCTTGCTGTTCAGTTTTGTGGAGTTTAGCCACTTGGCTCAAGAGCCTGGTCACGATCCTGTACTCCGGAGTCCTAGGACGTCTGATGCATGGGCAGCATGTGGCATGGTGGGTGTTGGTGGTTCAGCTGGTCCCTAACCTTCTTTACAGAGTTCTGAAGTACGTATGGGGTATGTAAGGGTTCCCCAACTACGGACCTATACTAAGGGATCATGTAACTACCCTAAAACCACAGAAACCTAGCAGGCCCTGGACCAGTTGCAAAGCGATAATCCAAAGCGATGATTCGCAAATACAATGTCGTGCTGGGCTTGCCGACGCAAACTGATCGCTGCACCCCTAAACTCTAAACCCTAAACCCTGCACCCTAAGCCCTGCTTTGAACCTTGCGCGGATGGGATGTTTGCCCAGTTTAGCACACCAAGGCGGCGCAAACCATGCACGGTTACGCTGGGACGGGCGGGGCTCCGCGTACGAAAAACAAAATACATTCCTTATTTTCATCGTTTCGTGTATCATCTCGCTCTTGCGAGTTTTTGCATGTCTTCATTTGGGGTTAGATGTTGGGTTCAGGGTTTAGGGTGTAGGATCCTGTATATATCCCGTCTATGTACTGAACCTATAAGACCCCAAAACCACCTCTGAGGTGCGCTCTGTACTTTGCGGGCGGAGGCGTCCTTGCCGCTCTGGGCCGGTAGCACAAGGCGGACAAGGGATTTTGATGCCTAGGGTTTTGGGTTTAGTGTTTAGGGTTTAAGGTGTGATGGCTGGTTGAAGTTTTGAGCTTGTAGAGCTGTAGAAGTTTACAGGAGAAATGCATAGGCATGATCTGCAAAGCTTATGAGTTCACAAGCACAACTGGATATAAGGTGGAATATCGAATATGTTATTACTCCTGATAGTTGAGTTGCGTACCTAGCAGATATGTTTGACTTGGCTGGCTTTGGGAATAGAACTTTCTCACAGACTCCGAGATCGCAGCTCGCACGCTTGCGAAAAGAGCCAGACCTCGCGCTGCCTTGGCTCTAAACCCTGAAGCCCCATAAAGAGTCGGGGGTGGTTCTATGCATAAACATCCTGATCGAGGCTCCCTCCCAGGACTACTGTGAGAGTTTCGGAAAATCAGGGTGACCCCCTTTTTTTTGGGGGGGCTCCCATCATAATGTCGAGGGTGTAGAACGGCTACCCATGTCATTCCGGAGTCGCGTCGCAAGATGCGGTTTAGGGTTTTGGGCCTTAGGGTTCAGGGTTTAGGGTTTAGGGTTTAGGGTTTAGGGTTTAGGGTAGATGAACCGTAGGACCCCGGCTTTTTGGAGATTGCCATACCCTTTCGGAGACTTCCGCCAATGACCAGAGGGCCCCTTCTGACCTCTTGCTTGAGGAGTAGCGTCACATCGCCGCTGTATCAAGGAGTACGTCTTTGAAACTTACCTACATCCTTAGTGTATATATGTAGGAGTAGAGTCTCGGGGGTCAGATGGCTCTGCAGCTTCTCCTCGCCTTCCTGGCCCTGCCACTTGCACTTGGACAACTCTCCGACGTCGTGTCGGCACGCAGCTTCGACGAGTATGTCCAGGATGTGGAGCCTTGCAAGCTTGTTTAAACCCTAAGCCCAAACCCCAAACCCCAATTCCCAATTCCCAAACCCCAAACCACAAACCCCAAACCACAAACCCCAAACCCCAAACCCAAACCCTAAACCCTAAACCCTAGACCCTAAACCCTAAACCCTAAACCCTAGACCCTAAACCCCAAACCCCAAACCCTAAACCCTAAACCCAACAAGGGCAAACGGGCACCATTGGCCCCCCCACCCCCCCCGCAAGGAACGGCACGCGCTGTACATGCGGCACGGCAACGACCAACTGCGAGCTGCCGTAGCAAAGGCCGAGGAGCTGAACAAAGACAAGGTTGTCCTCTATCATGTGGCCAGTCGAGGGTTTTAAGTTTAGGGTTTAGGGTTTAGGGTTTAGGGTTTAGGGTTTAGGGTTTAGGGTTTAGGGTTTAGAGGGGTTGTCCTCTATCATGTGGCTCAGTATCCCAGTCAAGGGTTTTAGGTTTAGGGTTGATGGGTTCAGGGTTTAGGGTTTACGTAGGGTGTTGTCCTCTATCATGTGGCTTCGCACTTAAAGGATCAGGGGACTTAGTAAGTGGGGTTCTAAGTAGGGCGGCCCTTGCATATGCAGTACAATACTGGGGCTGCACATTTCGTTTCCTTGTTCTTTTCGTTCATTCGCGCACTCACCACTTTCTCTCACCCATAAACTCGTTCACTTCGTTCATTTAAGGGTCTATAAATAATCGTACTTTGCAACCCCCTTTCAAGCCCCTAAATGCTGTACAAAAAGGCCCACTTCATGAAGTAAGGGCCTGTTCTCACTTCACAAGGTACCCAAATTGGCAGTAAAACCGCCTTGAAGATGCGTTATCCTCAAGGGCGGGCACTTTAGGACCAACTTTGAGGTGAACCAACAGTACTTCTAACCCTACTTACTAAGTGCCCCGAGTTGCCCTTAGTGGTAATATAGGGGTCGGAATCATTACTGTTGGTATTCCCTTGTGGCCCCTCAAAAAATATGCCTTAATACCCCCCCCCCCCCCAACACCCTGTTCCAATTATCAAGGCCCCTGTTTTGACTCAAGGTGATGCCCCTCTACGGATACTTGATGTCGTGGCTCGCGCATGGCATCATGGCCAAAGAGCCCCTCCGGTGGCAGAGGGGTGCCCAGACGTCGGGCGTTGCTGCCGAGCTGCCGCAGATGCTGCGCATGTGGGAGGAAGGCGTCTAGGACCCAGTGGTATTTCGGGGTTTCCTTTCACAGCAATGGTGCATATATTCTACATTTTGGGGTTCACCTTTGCAGAAACGAGAGTCAAGCCCCTTGAACACAGACTGAAGGGTACCCCTGGTTGCCGCGGGAACCAGGGTGCGGGACCCCTATCCCCTAAACCCTCTAGACTAAACCCTAAACCCTAAGCCCCAAACCCTAAACACTAAACCCTACAGCCTATATAAACCCTAAACCCCAAACCCTAAACCCCAAACCTAAACCCCAAATCCTAAACCTTGAACACTTCAGGTATGGACTTCCCCACCTTCGCATTGTGCCTGGCGATTTTGAGCACATGCTTTTGCCCTCTTTCGCTAGGAGCCTGGGATCCTCCATACTTACCGGGCTTGAGGGTTTAGGGCGTTTAGGGTTTAATTCGGGTTTAGGGTTGAGTTTTTGGGCTTTCAGGGGTTTGGGGTTTAGGGTTTAGGGTTTAGGGTTTAGAGTTTAGGGTTTAGGGTTTAGGGTTTAGGGTGTAGGGTGTAGGGTTTAGGGTTTAGGAACAGTCTTGCATAGAATACGTAGCCTGCACAATCGTTAACTTATGGAGAATACCTCGGGGACCAGGAAAGTAACCGCAAGCCTCGCAAGCGCCAAACTCTAAACACCAAGACCCCGAAGCCTGCAAAGCCCCAAGCCCTTAAACCCGATTCCCTAAACTCTAAAATCCCCAACCCAATCTCTATAAGGCCTACCAGGACGGGCTGTTATGCCGTTATGCCCTATAACTTAAACCCTAAACCCTAAACCCTAAACCCTAAACCCTAAACCCTAAACCCTAAACCCTAAACCCTAAACCCTAAACCCTAAACCCTAAACCCTAAACCCTAAACCCTAAACCCTAAACCCTAAACCCTAAACCCTAAACCCTAAATGGTATCTCCAGCAGAGGCACAACGCATCTCTCTGTGCGCACAAGGAAAAGCGAAAGGTGCGCGAGGCGGATCCACAGCAGGCTCAGGCACGGGAGCTGCCATTTGGGGCTTTTAGGGTTTAGGGTTTAGGGTTTAGGGTTCAGGGTTTATAGTCAGTTCATAAGGTTTATAGGGCGTGTTGTTTGGGGTGTAAGGGTTTTGGGCTTTGGGTTAGTTTTGAGTGATTGGGCTTCGGGTTCAGGGTTGTGGCTTTGTAGGGTTTAGGGCTTAGCTGGTACGCATCTCTGAACTGGCTGAGCCCATGTGCCAGTAATCTTGCATAATGCCTCCTGGGTTGGGGTTAGGGGTTTAGGGTTTAGGGTCTAGGGTCTAGGGTGTAGGGTCTAGGGTCTAGGGTCTAGGGTTTGGGGTGTAGGGTGTAGAGGTCTAGGGTGTAGGCTTTAAGGTTTAGTGTTCAGGGTTTAGGTTGAGATCGGCTTTAGCAGGACTCGCAATCGCTGTCTTGACCTGGAAGGTACTGGGTGATGGCGACTGGAGCAACTACTATCAAACCGGACAGGGCTTCTACGACATCTCTTACGTCGCGACCTCCAAGAATATTGGCAGCCCAGAGGTACCCTTCTCCCTTTTTTTGGGTTCAGGGTTTAGGGTTTAGGGTTTTGGGGTTTAGGGTTTAGGGTTTAGGGTGGTTCCCTCATAAAGTAAGCAACCCCCAAAAAAGGGTGCCCTTATTACAGTATGGTTGCTGGGCTACCAAGGAAGTACAAGGATTGCAACGACCTCGCGCCTGGTTTTCACTTCTGCCCATGGGTAGTTGGCCCCAGAATCCTGAAGTACGGGTTTTATTGTTTAGGATGGGCCCGGAGGCTCAACCCTAAACCCTAAACCCTAAACCCTAAACCCTGAACCCTGAACCCTGAACCCTGAACCCTGAACCCTGAACCCTGAACCCTGAACCCTGAACCCTGAACCCTGAACCCTGAACCCTGAACCCTAAACCCTAAACCCTGAACCCTGAACCCTGAACCCTGAACCCTAATGACAACAGGCGTGCATATTATATTGTAGTTCACACGCCTGTTGCGCGCACACCGTATAAAATGAGTGCGTCCGTGAGTGATTGGTTAACCCGTGTTCTCTGTTAGTGCTTTTATGGGAGATTCTGTAGCTAGATCTGTGAGCACAAGAACACCTGTCATCTGTGGGCCAGTTATGCCGTCGTTTCACTCACTTCATTAGTACTGTCATTCTCTAGACACAATACGCGCATTAAAGTGAATACATGAGTGCACAACTTTGTAATTAAAGAAGCGATCGCAGAGAATCCAAGGTGTTACAATATTAATAAAGGTGTAATAATATTCTACGGGATTCACTCACTTGTATTATTATAAGGACATAGAATTATTAACTGGGGGATTTCCTCACATCCAGTATTTGCCCCTTGACAGGCTTATAATTACCCTGAACCCTAAACCCTAAACCCTAAACCCTCAACCCCAAACCCTAAACCCTAAACCCTAAACCCTAAACCCTAAACCCTAAACCCTAAACCCTAAACCCTAAACCCTAAACCCTAGCCCTGTAACTACCCGGAGACTTAGGGTTGACGCCTAAACCCCGAAGTACCGAAACCAAGCGCTAACCTTCAAAACCCTGAGCCCTAAGTTTCCTAAGCCCGTCAACCCTAGGGTTTAGGGTTTAGGGTTTAGGGTTTAGGGTTTAGGGTTTAGGGTTTAGGGTTTAGGGTCTAGGGTTTAGGGTTTAGGGTTTAGGGTTTAGGGTGTAGGGAAACCTCGAAGCCTTGAAACCTGATTGCTGCGATTTGGTGCTTCTGCTTCCAGCCAGCCCTTTCCCTTTCGTGCAGCATGGACCAGACTCCCTGTTTAAAGGTTAGGCTGTAGGATGTAGGGTTTAGGGTTTAGGGTTTGGGGTTGGGGTTGAGGGTTTAGTAGGGGGTGTTGTTCCCGGGATTTGGCAGTTGAGGGTTTAGAGTGTTGGGGTGTTGGGGGGTTTTCGGGCACAGGCGGTTTGGGGTTGGGAGTCTCCTGGTGTGCGTTACTTAGAATAGGGATACCCTTTCATGTCTCCCAAGGTTCTCACTGTATGAACCACCCAAAAGGTACCCCAAGAGCCCTAAGCCAAGCGAAGCCAATATACCTGGGTTTAGGGTTTAGGGTTTAGGGTTACTGGAACCTCCCAGGTGTATTCCCAACTGCAGGAAGACAACAAGAATGTTGGCCCGCTCATGGAGGAAGCCTTGCACATTGCAGCCCCACAAATCCCCAACTTCAAGCCCTACATCAGGAGCAATAATATGGGGGTTTAGGGTTTAGGGTTTAGGGTTTAGGGTTTAGGGTTTAGGGTTTAGGGTTTAGGGTTTAGGGTTTAGGGTTTAGGGGGTGGGGTATCCTGAAAGGTTCCTATAATGATGGTGATAGCACCATGGGTGTATTTTCGGGAATCCCAGTAGGGAAGTGCCCAGTACCCATATAGTTTCGAATCGTCTGGGGGGGAAGGGGGGGGAGTGATAATGCTCACAAAGATGTAGCGACTCCCATCCTTCATGGCCTGCGTGGTGGAGTTTTTGTGCCCGAGAGGACCTCTTAAATTCGCACGACAGACCCTAATTCCTACCTGACACCCCAATTGCCTACGGTTTCGTAGTAAGTGCCCCCGCCCCTATTTAGTGGGTAGATTCCTTAAAACTGTACTGTAGGTAAATAGGGTCCCGGGTAAACACACTGGGAGTCTGCTGCGGAGTTTGGGGGAAGGGGGGAAGGGGGGGAGTTCAGGGTTTAAGCTTTAGGCTTTAGGGTTTATAGGGTTTATAGGGTTTATAGGGTTTATAGGGTTTATAGGGTTTATAGGGTTTATAGGGTTTATAGGGTTTATAGGGTTTATAGGGTTTATAGGGTTTAGGTTTAGGCTTTAGGGTTTAGGGCTTAGGCTTTAGGGTTTAGGGCTTAGGGTTTAGGGTTTAGGCTTGGGGGGGAGAAGGAAGGGAGGTTGTGCCGAAAAGGAGTGTCATGCTTGTTGAACCGAGTTCGTCCTGCCGGAAATGAAGCTGAAGGTTTTCCGGAGAGGGTTTACTGCTTAGGATTAAATTTAGGGTTTAGGGTTTAGGGTTTAGGGTTTAGGGTTTAGGGTTTAGGGTTTAGTTTTTAAAGCCTAAACGTTGAACCTCGAGAACCCCAAACCCTGAGAGGAAGCGCGTCTCAAAGCATTCGGCGTCGGAGCGGGCGCGCATTTTGCCCAGTATTTAGACGAGCAGGCTGGGCATATGGATCAGCCCCAAAACCCGTAAACCTGAACCCTAGACCCCTTAAACCCTAAACCCTAAACCCTAAACCCTAAACCCTAAACCCTAAACCCTAAACCCTAAACCCTAAACCCTCAATCTTCACGCCCATCAGACTGGAAAGTAGACAAAATTGGGGTGCCTTTGTGGGATCCGTATTCTAAGGGGGATCTTGCCCTACTCGGACCGTTTGGGATCTATGCTAAGGGGCCCTTATTCTCGTAAACTCCCAAATCACAAAGTAAGCCTAAACCCTCAGCACCCTATAAACCCTGGAAATCCCTAAAGACCCTATGAACCCTAAATCTTCTTGAAGCCCTACAAACCCTAAAAACCCTATAAACCCCAAATACCCTGTAAACTCTAAAAAACCCTATAAACCCTAAATGCCCACAAACCCTAGAAACCCTAAAAATCCTAAGAAACTAGAAGCCCCTATTCACCCTATAACGCGAAAAGGCCCGTAAACCCTACAAGCCCAAGAACGCCTATGAAAACGAGAATCAGAAACCCTACAAACCCTTAGAACCCTATAAACCCTATTAAGCCCTAAAAGCCCTCAAGACCCTTCGACCCTATAAATCCGAAACGCCCTATGAACCCTATTAACCATATAAAACCCAGAAGCCCTCAAAACACCCTAGAAGCCATTTGGGGTTCAGGGTTTTGGATTTAGGGTTCAGGGTTGAGGGTTTAGGGTTTCCGGTTCCGGGTCTAGGGTTGAGGGTTTAGAGTCTTCCGGGCTCGGGGTCGTGTGGCAACTACCCCAATTAAGTGGGGTTCTACCCCCTAAGCTCTCTGCACCCTCACCCTCGCAACTCTCAACCCTCGCTTGCAACTTTTTCCCGAAAGCTTCAGCAAAGGGCTCTTCGGAAACAACAAGTTCGCCCAAGCACACCAGCCCACCACCACCACACTGCCATCACCACACTAATCACTACGCTACCACCACACTAGCACCACCACACTTCCATCACCACACTACCACCACCACGCTACCATCACTACACTACCACCACCACACTACCATCACCACAGTACTATCTCAGCTGCATTGCTTCTGTACGCTGTCTATTAAATTCTCTCTCATTTCTTAGGCTGGGGTGGGTTTCGCCGCGGCTAGCGCGATGCACCCCTCTGCGGGGATCGTGCGTGTCGGAGCGCTCCCGCTGTGAGTTTTCGCACATTTAGGATCTTACGCATGCACCCTTTGCGGGGATCATGCGTGTCAGTGCGCTCGCGCTGTGTGTTTTCGCACATTTTGGATCTTACGCGTGCACCCTCTGCGGGGATCGTGCGTGTCGGATGTGCGTTTTCGCACATTTTGGATCTTACGCGTGCACCCTCTGCAGGGATCGTGCGTGTCGGAGCGCTCCCGCTGTGCGTTTTCGCACATTTTGGATCTTACGCGTGCACCCTTTTGCGGGGATCGTGCGTGTCGGAGCGCTCCCGCTGTGCGTTTTCGCACATTTTGGAACTCAACCGCGCGCCCTCTGCGGGGATCGTGCGTGTCGGAGCGCTTCCGGTGTGCGTTTTTGCGTATTCTTGAGTGGTCTGTTGAACCCTCTGCAGGGATCCTCTCTGCCGTCGACACCGCGTTGAGACTACACTACCGATCTACTTCTAGCCTACTACACCACACCACGGCACCACGATCACCAACACAACCAACTATACGTGTCAGTTGAAATCTTCGCACGGAGTGCTTTCGGGATAAGCGGTGTCGAGTTGAATGTCGAGGGGCACGGGAGCTCGAATACTGACTCTGATATACTTGTCATGTAGGGAGTGAAACCCGAACCTTTAGGGTTTAGGGTTTAGTGTTGGGCCCTGGGCGTAGTGTTTTGGGCTTGAAATTAATACCCAAACCACAAACCCCAAACACTAAACCCCAATCCCGTCTGTGCGCAGGTCGGGCACGACTGGCAAGACGCCGTCTTTCCCCACAGCTACGACGGGATGGCGACGGTAGGCGTCCAGGACAGATTCTAGGCTCGGCTCGTGTGAAGAGTTTAAGGTTTTTGTTGCTCTTGCTAGTACCAGGTTTCTCCCTTTAAGCCTAAACCTTACCCTAAACCCTAGACCCTAGACCCGAGACCCTAAGCCCTAAACCCTAAACCCTAAACCCCCAGCCCTTGACGCGAGAGCGACTCAGACCAAGGACTCCTCCAGGCAGACATCAACTTGCTGGGAAGCGCGGTGAGCAGCGCCTGGCAGAGCTCCATCCCAAGCACCTGGGCCCAGTCCGCTTACTTCCAGGATGCTTCTTTGGCGCTGTAAGATTTAGGGTTTAGGGTTGTTTGGGGTTTGGGGTTTAGGGCTTAGGGTTGTGGCTCGTCGCCCACGTGGTACTTAGGTGTAGGGTTGGGGTTGAGGGGTTCAGGGTCGGGTAGGTCACCTGTGATCTTTTTGCGGAATTATTAAGCCCGAAAGCCCGAAGGTCAGCCTTTTATCAGGTAAACTCAGCCGGTGAGGTTTATGGCGATCTGAATGCCGACCATTTTTCGCAGTACTCCTTTCAGCCCGATTTTGGAGACCGCTCGGCTCTGCTTGATCAAGTGCTCTTGAAGTTGAATCCTGGACCGGAGGCTCTCCAAAAGGTCCACAACCTGCTGTCCTTACTCAAATGCTCCGCGCAGATGCGCTTTCCGATCTACCAGGCGAACTTCGGGCGGAGGCCTTGCAAGATCCCCCCCCCCCCGTCAGGTTTCGGGTTTGGGGTTTAGGGTTTAGAGGGCTACTGAGGCCTCTGCTGACAGTGACCCTGAAACCTTAACCATCGAAGGCAGAAGATCATGGAGCGATGTTGGAAAGGATCCGCGGAACCTTTTCCACCGGAGCCTGCGCCTGCACCCGAACCCTAAACCCTAAACCAACCCCCAAGTGCTAGAATCCTCTAGGTAGGACCTTGGGACATTTCATATTATCCCTTACTGGGGTTCAGGGGGTCGGGATCATATATATGAACATTTTTCAGGAATTTATTCCAGAAACCCTCAACCGGGTACTGCTACTTTGAGATACCCTACCCATCACAGGGGGCTTAGGGGGTTTATGGGGGGTTATGGGGGGGGGGGGGGGGGAGTCTGCGAGTGTGGGGGGGGGGGGGGGGCTATGAGTCTACGAGTCTGCGAGAGGGCAAGAGTGTGTTCACGGTGGAGGTCTTACTTGCGGGTTCCAGACAGTTGCGAAGTCGTCGTAATTGGGGTTACAAGCCAACTTATACTTGGGTAACTTCTATAGGCTGTATGGTATAGTATACACTAAGTCTCATCCATGAAACCTTCAACTAGGTTTCAGGGTATATACCTGTGCACCCATTTGCGAGGATGCGCCGAAGATGGATCTTGACACCGTAGCAAGTGCGCGAACGAAGGCTGGGAGAAGCGCCGATTGTAGGGCCTTGAAGTGGGAGGATTCTTTAGCTAAACACCCTGAAACCCTAACCTCTAAACTTTAAACCCTAAGCCCTAAGCCCTAAACCCTAAACCCGAAACCCTAAACCCTAAACCCTAAACCCTAAACCCTAAACCCTAAACCCTAAACCCTGGAGCCCGTCACCATCCTGGTGGGGTCAGGAAGCCGCGACCGCGCTACAAAGCGGGGGCTTGGCTACCGATGATGAGACACGGGGCTCCCCAGACTGTCTGGTATGTAGGGTTTAGGGTTTAGGGTTTAGGGTTTAGGGTTTAGGGTTTAGGGTTTAGGGTTTAGGGGTTTAGCGGTTTAGAGGTTTAGGGGTTTAGGGGTTAGGGTTTAGGTTTAGGGATCCTACATGGGGGTTTACGAGGATAGGGGACCCCAAAAGTAGCCTCCCAAATAGTAGGCTTCCCTTATAATAGGGCCTCCTAATTTCGTAAACCAACATATTTTCAAGGGGCTTAGGGGTTTAGGGGTGTAATTAGGGTGCAGGGGTCATAAGCTATAAGGGTTTCAGTTTAAGGATGTAGGGCTTAGAGGGTGCGTATAGGGGCTGAGGATTTAGGGGTTTGGGACAGGTTTTACTTTCACAACAGCAAGCCAAGACCACAGTAATGCGTCTTTTCAGCATGATTAAAAGGGGAGGCATAGCAGCACTCTTTGAGGGGTCTGAGAGGTTCTAGTACGTAGCTTCATATGCCTTACATGGTATCTAGTGTTTAGGGTTTGGGTTTACGACAGTGTTGCTGTCGGCAGATTAGGCAAATGTTTCGGAGTTTCTGGCTTGCGGGCTATGGGGTGCATTGTGTTGAGGGTCCTTCGCAGATATCGGTTGAGAACACGCAGGTTGTGTAAGGTTTAGGCCCAGTGGCTGTGAGCGCCCTAGAAGAATGGCGCAAGACCCGCAGGAGCTTTGGGCATGTATTCCGACAAGGGTGCACAAGGGCTTAGTGAGGCTTAGTGCAGCAACCCAGGCTTTTCCAGGGTACTCCTGCAAGTGGTGCTGCTGGCGAACGCGGCCAATGAGCTGGCATATGTTAGTACAGACTGGAACAAGAAGAACGGCCAGCCACCTGGCCACGAGCATGAGGATTGGAGGGGGATCAGTTTCGTGGATGCTTATAACAAGTTGAAGAACACGGACCACGGAGACAACTTTACGGCCAGGGTTTTCCTAAGAAGGGAGCCCTTCTTTGTCGAGAACTCCGTCAAGGTCGTTGCTTACAGCCAAGTCTTCACCGACGAGACGTTCATGGAGTTTGCAGAGAGCTCCTGGAATGCCAGTAGTACCCCTATTCCCTCCTTGTTTTGGGGGGTTAGGTTCCCTAGTAAAGCCCCATCTTGAATAGAAAGAGATGGGAGTTTCCGAAATCAGGGGTACCTTATTGGGGTCCTTCTGATAAAGGGATCCTACTCTTTGGCGATTTATATTAGCCCCCCCCCCCGCCCCATTTTCGTAAACTCCCAGCAACTTAGGCGTCCTGAACGACATCCGGCTCTTGCTGCCCACAGCGCCCAAAGAGGTGTCGGACTACGGGTGGATGCTGAGAGTGGGCATGGTCCTGGGCCTTGTTTTGCTCCTTAGATGCCACCCTTATTCCTTTTCTTCGAGTTAGGGTTTAGGGTTTAGGGTTTAGGGTTTAGGGTTTCGGGTTTAGGGTTTAGGGTTGACTGTCCACGAAACAAAATTAGTCGGCGTCCGTTTTTCAGTTACTTTTGAAGCCCAGAACTTTCAACGCTCAACCACCTCAAACCGCCCTCCGCCCTAAACCCTAAACGAAACCCTAAAGGCCAAAAGCCAAAACCCTAAACCTGCAGCAGTAAACCATAAAACCGCCCTAAGCCCCAGGTATATGGCACCCTATACCCCCTAAATCCCTGAACCCTAAAACCCCAAACCCCAAACCCTAAACCCTAAACCCGAAACCCGAAACAGTAAACCCTAAACCCGAAACCCTAAACCCTAAACCCAGGCTCGTGGCCTGCCTCGGGTACAGGCGCTTGTGCCTGAGACCGCCGCGGGCCGCAAGGTCGACCCATGATGTGGTGGAGCTCCCGGCGAGGGTTTAGGGTTTAGGGTTTAGGGTTTAGGGTTTAGGGCTAAGGGTTTAGGGTTTAGGGTTTAGGGTTTAGGGTTTAGGGTTTAGGGTTTAGGGTTTAGGGTTTAGGGTTTAGGGTTTAGGGGGCTTATGGCGGTTTAAGGCTTGAATCTTCATAGGGTTCAGGGTTTCGATTATTTAAATAGGCGTGGCTGGCGTGTGAGGAGTGACAAAAAGCGGGACGGCTTGGCTGCCTTACTTAAACCGGGTAGTTTTGTCCGAACTTCCCTCAGCCCTAAGCCGAAACCCTAAACCCCTAGGGTTTGATAAGGGTTTTGGGTTGAGGGTTGAGGTTTTAGGGTTTAGGGGTCTTCCCTCAACCCTAAACCTTAAACCCCCGAAATTCCTCAGAGGGTTGGGTCTGACGATCCCAGAACTTTCTCTGATATGTCTCTTTTCCCTTAAAGGGTTGACGCGGATAATCTTTTGGGAGTATCTTCGGACCCCAAGACCTCCAAAAATGCCTGAATCCCCAGCTCCAAAACCTCAAAGAAACCCTAAAAGCCCTTCAAGATTCCTTATACAGTCCCTATATACCCAAGTAGCCCCTTTACATAACCCCCAAGTACCCCCCTAAGGTCCCTGACCCCAACCCCTAGACCCTAGACCCTAGACCCTAGACCCTAGACCCTAGACCCTAAACCCTAAACCCTAAACCCTAAACCCTTGAAAAGGGCCCAGCAGCCTCTCGGCTTGTGAGGTGAAGAAGTAGCAGGGGAGGGGCGACTCAGGGGTCCCAAGCGATAGTGGGGGTTCTCTTTTCCGCGCCTCCTCCGAAGCAGCTCGGGCGCCTTGGTGGGGGGGGGTTTAGGGTTTAGGGTTTAGGGTTTAGGGTTTGGGGTTTGGGGTTTAGGGTGTAGGGTTGACGGTTGAGGGTTTAGGGTTTAGGGTTGAGGGTTGAGGGTTGAGGGTTTAGGGTTTAGGGTTGAGGGTTGAGGGTTGAGGGTTTAGGGTTTTGGGGTTTTGGGGTTTTAGGGTTTAGGGAGGACCTCAGTGATGTTGGAAGCTGAGGCGGAGGGTTTGGGGCGTAGAGTGTCGGGTAACCCCAAACCCCAAACCCCAAACCCCAAACCCCAAACCCTAAACCCCAAACCCCAAACCCTAAACCCTAAACCCTAAACCTAGGCCTTTAGGATTTTCGGGCTTAGGGGCTTAGGTCTTTTTGCGGCCCATCCTGAAACAACTCATCTGATACCTGCTGCGTCTTCGGCCAGTCCTGCTTTTCCACACCCTAAGCCCTAAACCCGAAACCCTAAACCCTGAACCCTAAACCCTAAGCCCTAAACCCTAAACCCTAAACCCTAAACCCTAAACCCTAAACCCTAAACCCAAGCAACCCCAAGCCGCCCCAGGCAGGCGCAGCCATGCTCCGACGCCTGGCTGCGCAGCCGATGCGCGTGGCGCTTCGCTCTGCGAGGTTCCGTGGGTTTGTGTGTAGGGTTTAGGGTTTAGGGTCTAGGGTTAATTTAGGGTTTAGGGTTTAGGGGTTTAGGGGTTTAGGGGTTTAGGGGTTTAGGGGTTTAGGGGTTTAGGGGTTTAGGGGTTTAGGGGTTTAGGGGTTTAGGGGTTTAGGGGTTTAGGGTTTAGATTGTTTGGGGTTTAGGGTTTTTGTTCAAGGGTTTAGAGCTGCTTGTTCAAGGTTTTCGGGTTGTCTGCAAGGTAAAAGGGTCATAGGTTAGTTATTCGGACTTGCGGGGTCAGGGATGTTTTCCCTATTCGCTTACATCACCATACACTCAGCATTCGAATCTAAACAGACCCTGGACCGTAAACCCTAAAGCCCTGAATGCTATCTTCATTCATATTCTTGCTGTTGCAGGGCTTTGTTCAGTTCTGGGCATGTCGGGTTCATTGACTGGTTCCAGCGTTCTGCTGGTACATGATCGTTTAGGGTTTAGGGTTTAGGGTTGAGTTTTTAGGATTTAGGGTTTCGGGTTTAGGAGCTGATATTCCACAGCAATGTCACAACTACTTGTCAGGCAATATCAGCAATGTCACTATCATAGGCAAAACTAGAAGTCAGAAGAGTAGTATTCCTGCAGCCGTGTCATCGTACAATGGCATGTAATTCGGCAAAGGGCGGTTCAGGGCGCCCTAAACTCTAAGCCTTAAACCCTAAACCCTAAACCCTCAACCCTAAAACCCCCAAGCCGTAGGCCGGTTGTGGGGCGGGGGGGGGGGGGTTTAGGGTTTAGGGTTTAGGGTTTAGGGTTTAGGGTTTAGGGTTTAGGGTTTAGGGTTTAGGGTTTAGGGTTTAGGGTTTAGGTCTCGAGGGTTTAGGGGGAGTCTCGAAGTTGGCGGCTTCGGGTTCAGGCTGTAGGGCATAGTGTCCGGGGCTTTACCAGGCAGGCCTTTGGGGCATTTCAGAGTTTCCCTTGTTGGGTTTAGGCAGATCCTGTTCAAGAATATTTTCTCAGAGGGTGTTCAGGGCCATCCTAGTTTCAACTAGTAGCTAGTAGTCATAGAAATAAGATGAATAGTGGTAACAATACGAGCAGTAGCAACAGTAATAACAATCGTAGGGGCTTGAGGTGTTTTTGCTGGATCGGTCTTAGGGTTTAGGGTTTGAGCGTTGTCGTTGCTTTGGCTTTGAGATGTCCTTGCCGTTGCTGAAGCAGCTTTTGGCCCTGCTGCGTGAAGGGCAAGTGTTGCGTGGAGGTCCCTTTGATATGTCGCGCTGATTCTGTGACATCGTCCGCGCAATGTCCCAAGCATAAGCGTCCTCGCATGCAACGAAAGCCTACCTTTGCCAAATGGGCAGTTGGCGGGATTAGACTTAGAGTGAGAATCACTGGAGGAATGCGATTCAAAGCCAGTGCTTTTGCATTGCACACAGTGTCGTATGACATCTTTGCATGACAGATGGATGGCTAATCACACAAGTACCTAGTTCGCATGGCCAAAAACATGACTTCTTGAAGGCTTAGAGACTTAGAGCCCCCTTTTCCCAATTTCGGGGCAGTTGGTGCTGAGCTGCCGCATCCATGTCGATTCATGTGCAGCTGCTCAGTGGCAGAGAGCTTGCAGTGATTGACTTCGTGCCGGACATGACAGTTGAAGCGTCTCCGAGGCCTGATTCAGTAAGCAGGTCTTTTTTTGGTGCAGCTGCTGTAGACTGTATATTGAACGGTATACAGTGTAATCAATGTTCCGGTAAACCGTTGCTATATGTGTGTATTTCTATATATATATATATATCTGTGTATACGCATATGTATATAGAATAATATATATATATATACATATACACCCACGTCTTTTGAGCCTAGTATAGTACAAGGAGCACAAAAGCAAAAAGAAGGGCCAGGGAGCCACGAGCTTGTGCCACGAACTCGTTGAGGTCTCGTTGAAAGCTTCTTCGAGTTTCTTTGCGTATGGCATGTGGTAAAGTTTCGAAAGCCCTAAGCCCTAAACCCTAAACCCTAAACCCTAAACCCTAAACCCTAAGTCCTAAACCTCGGGGGCATTTTCAGGTTCTCGCCGAGCCAAGCCTCCAAGCTGAGGCGTCTGGCTCAAAACTCCTTGCATACTAATACAACTGAGTGTTTTAGATGTATACATATATATATATATATATATAATATACATACATATATGTATGTATAGTCCATGTAGTACTTCTGCTTTCATACTAGATTGGTCGAATCTACGAATGATCGAATGCTCGAGCTAAGAGTAGACGAATACACGCGCACCGCCCAGGTTCAAGGCCAAGCTCAAGGAGTGTCAGGATGACTTTGACTCCTTGGCCGGCCAGGTGCGCGTGGTGGAGGTGATCTTGGGTGGCTCGGACCCAGAGTCCGCCCTTCTTCCCCCTTTTTTTCTTTGCACCCCCCCCCCCCCCCCCCCCACTAAAAAAAAAGGAAAAATGAAAAATCAAAATAAAGAAGGTTCGGGTTCCCTTAAGCAGCCCCTTAACACACCCAAGAGGGACACCCTTCTTGATTCCCAGCTTTGCTCCTGGGCCTAGGTGGGCGAGCATTGGAGGATGACGGCGCGACGCTGCGGGACGCGGGGCTCCTTGAAGACTGCAAAGTTCAAGTGGTGTCTTGGTAGCCCAGTGGTGCCCATTGTCCCTTTTTTTTTTTTTTTGCTTCAAGGTTCCCTTCCCAAGCAACCGGGCCAAAAAAGGGTACCCTTAGGAGCCCTATTATAATAGGGTTGCTGGGCTACCCAGGTTTTTAAGGAGAACTCTGCCCACTGCGTGTGCAAAGCTGACCTTCCTAAGCAATGCAATGCGGCAGTGTTCTTCAGTGTCGAGCTGCCCAACGACGTCTTTCACATTCCTGCCTATGCATTCAGTAATTGTAGCTTCCTGAGAAAGTTGACAATCCCAAACTCAGTGACACAGATTGGGCCATGTGCTTTCTTCGGGTGCAGCTCTCTGACAACTGTGACCATTCCGAACTCAGTGACGCTGATTGGGAGTTCTGCTTTCAAGTACAGCTCCCTGACCTCGGTGACCATCCCGAACTCGGTGGCACGGATTTTGAGTTCTGCTTTTGCAGACTGCGTCTCCTTGACCTCGGTGACCCTCTCGGACTCTCTGACACAAATTGAACATTCTGCTTTGAAAGGGTGCAGCTCCTTGACCTCAGTGTCCATCCCGAGCTCAGTAACACACATTGGGAGTTGGGCTTTTAGCAAGTGCAGCTCCCTAACCTCGGTGACCATCCCGAACTCAGTGACAGAGATCGGGGCGTCTGCTTTCCGATGGTGCAAGTCCCTCGGGGTGACCATCCCCAACTCAGTGGCAGTGATTGGAGATCATGCTTTTCAAGGGTGCAGCTGTGTGACCGTGCCGAAGTCAGTGTGGCCCATTGGAAACGGTGATTTTGCACACCCCGGAAAGTTCGTTTTCTGATTTCCTTGGACCGTCCTGAATCCGAACAGAGCGAAGAACATCACCGAACAAAGCAGTCTGTGCTTTTCAACGCATTCCTGGCGTGGACTTCTGCATCGTGGCTCTTGCGGCAATTTGAAGCACGCGTGTGGCTCCAGACTGAAGATGTGCTCCCGACTTCCCAGCAAACGCAGGTCTGCGCCATCATCCCTTGTGGAGTCATACCCTTGAAGAAGCCATAACTCAGAGTGAATGTGATGCTACTTCGCCTTTCCAACAGCTATTGCGGCTGCAAAGTTTTCGAGCTCTTGTTCAGAGTTTCAGGCTTAGGCTTGGGGTTCAGCGAGGTTCCCTACTCCCTAAACCGTAAACCCTAAACCCCAAGCCACACGCAGAGCAGGGTGGGTTTCCCACACCTGGGGTTGGGCCCGTCCCCTTGCCTCCTATTGCCACGCACTTGTTGTTCTCCCCTTCGTGCTTATCGCACCAGGGTTTAGGGTTTAGGGTTTCAGAGGGTTTAGGGTTTAGGGTTTAGGGTTTAGGGTTTAGGGTTTAGGGTTTAGGGTTGTATCCCTTTGTGTCTGGCCGCATTCTGGCGTAGGGCGAATCGCTTGCCTGGTGCCCAGCCCCCCTGCACCCTAAATTCATACGGGCTGTGGACCCTATATACACCCTAAACCCGAATTCTCTAAGCCAAGGCCTAAACCCTAAACCCTAAGCCCTAGACCCTAAACCCTAAACCCTAAACCCTAAACCCTAAACCCTAAACCCTACACCCGAATTCTGGGGTTTCTGGTTTACGGTTTAGGGCTTCGGCTGCCCCGCAGGTCTCATGTCAGCCTGGCATCCATCCGATCCCAAGTTCCCGCCACACCGGCGCCCGGCAGAATATCTCTGTTCCCCGCGCAGGCGCGCGGGGAAGGTTTTGGGGGGTTCCATCCGGAGGTTTAGGGGCCGTAAGCCCTAAACCCTAAACCCTAAGCGCTAAGCCCCAAGCCCTAAGCCCCAAACCCTAAACCCTAATTTGGGTTCAAGGTTTAGTTTACTTCGGGTGCAGAGTTTAAGGTTCAGGGTTGCCAATTATGCATTTTAAGTCCCATTTGGACAAAAGACGCACGTTGCTTGTTTTTACGCTGCTGGGGGCAACCTTGGGCTGCGTATCTTCTTGGGGCAACCTTGAACCCTGAACCCTAAACCCCCTTAAACCCCCTTAAACCCCCTTAACCCCCTAAACCCCCTTAAACCCTTGCACCCTAAACCCTAAACCTCTACTCTGTGAGACTCCAGTCAGGAGCACACCGATGGCAGAACATACATGTGTGGAGTTTGGGGATCTTATACTAGGTAGCCCTTGGGACATTTTGTATTTTCCCTTATTCGGGTGTAAGAGGATCATATTCATGAATATTTTTCAGAGGGGTTTAGGGGCCATCCGAGTATATCATCCATCCCCCTGGTCCCTCTCAAAAGTGGTCACCACCACTACAGGATCCATTCTTTGACCCTTTGCTTCTGTACTCACTTGCCCTAAGGGTCCATGTACCTATATTTCATATACTCGACGTTCCAGGAGCTACTATGCTACCTAGCAGCTTTAAATTGCTTGGAGGTCCATGAGTACTTAAAACTGGGGTAAAAAGTAGGGCAGCCAAAGTTATAAGAGGTTCGGACCTGGTTTAGGGTACCTGTATTAGAACCCTACATATAGCTACCCATGAGTGCCCTCAAGTCAAGTGGGATACTAAATTAATAGCTACCCGTGTATCTGGGAGTATTTTTCAGATGTTGTTAAGGGCTGACCTAGCATGGGGTTCCTCTTGGGGAAGTTGCTCCCCAGGGTGGAGGCTTAAGGACTTGTGCCTGCTTCTGTGGGGTACGCACCCGAACAAAATCAGGCTGTGTTTCGTAAAAAGACAGTAGCGAACTGTACAAACGTTGGGGTGCAAGGTTCGGGTATGAATTCGGATTTGGTTGATTTCGGGTTGGTGGGTTTCGGGTTAAATTAGGGCTCAAGGGCTTTTGGGCTTCCATCTTGTCAACGTTTGCTCTAGCGCCTCACCGCGTCGACAGGGTGTAGGGCTGAAATGGGGGTTTTGGGGGTTTAGGGTTGAGGGCATTAGGAGCGGGGTTTGGTTTGTTGTTTCAGGTTCACTGTCCCATGCCAGGTGAGGCGTTTCAGCAGTGTGGAGACACCCAGCAGCACCTATGAAGGGGCAGTATCTATCCTAAACCCTAAGCCCCAAATACTGGGCCTGAACCCCGGGGCCTTAAATCTCTAAGTCCTTAGGCCCCAAGCTCTTAGCCCCCGAAGTCTTAGGCTCCTGAGCTCATGAGCCTGGAAGGAGGAGACCCCTATAAGGCATATTCATATTTAGGGTTTAGGATTTAGGGTTTAGGGCAACCCCTAGACCCTAAACCCCAAACCCTAAACCCTAAACCCCAAACCCCAAATAAGGCACACATATACATAGGGGCCTTAAGAGGGCATCGGCACTGAGGGTCCTCGGGGTCCCTCCTGATCTCCTTTTTTCCCGCACCCCCAGCCTTGTTTAGGGTTTAGGGGTTTAGGGTTTAGGGTTTAGGGTTTAGGGTTTAGGGTTTAGGGTTTAGGGTTTAGATGCGTAGTGGGCAAAAGCAGTCGCTGCGAAATTTCGCACAACTCAGCTAGCCAAGTGTATGTGTGTGTGTGTGTGTGTGTGTGTGTGTCGGCCGCGCAAGGGTGCTTCCGCACATGTTCACGCTTGTTGATGTATGCGCTCACATATGAACATATGCATGCTCACCGTAGTGAAGTGAAAGCACATCTCCCACCCTCATAACCCTTATGGGTGTGCAGGGTCCCTAAAGCCTAAGCCCAAACCCTACACCCTAAAACCGAAAACCCCAAAACCCCAAAACCCCAAACCCTAAACCCTAAACCCTAAACCCTAAACCCTAAACCCCCAAACGCTCTGCTGAGGATCAAGACCCCCGATTTTGGGGCTGAGAGCATCACGGAGGGCACCCTCATGGAGTGGTCGCAGCTCGGCACACCGCACTTTGGAGGGTTTAGGGTTTAGGGTTTCGGGTTTAGGGTTTAGGGTTTAGGGTTTGGGGTCTAGGGTCTAGGGTTTAGGGTTTAGGGTTTAGCCCAAGCCCTATAAACCCCAAACCCCAAACCCTCAACCCTCAACCCTCAACCCTAAGCCCTAAGCCCTAAACCCTAAACCTCTAGCAATACCAAGTCCGCCCCAAAGCTTTTCTCGACAGTGATTCAGGAAGAATGTTGGCGACTTCTGCGCCAAAGGCGAGATCCTGGCGGTGATTGAGACGGACAAAGTCAGCACGGAGGTGCCTAAACCCTAAACCCTAAACCCTAAACCCTAAACCCTAAACCCTAAACCCTAAACCCTAAACCCTAAACCCTAAACCCTAAACCCTAAACCCTAAACCCTAAACCCTAAACCCTAAACCCTAAACCCTCCCTTGCGGTTGAGGGTTGACGGTTTAGGGTTGAGGTTTGGCAGCCCAGTGGTACCCTTTACCCTTTTTTTTTTAATGGTTTCCCTTCTCAAATAGCCTACCCAAAAAAGGGAGCCCTTATCATGATATGGTTCCTGGGCTACCAAGGAGGGTTAGGGTTTAGGGTTCAGGGTTGAGGGTTGAGGGTTTAAGGTTTAGGGTTTAGGGTTTAGGGTTTAGGATGTGGGGTTCGGTGTTTCGGGCGGCCTCCGTTGCTGTGGACGACGCGAGGGTGTTGCATTCCTGACTTGTCGCTTGGGGTTTCCGAGGTCGTGTCGGTTCAAGATTTACTTCGTTGTAGAGTAGGTTTTTGGAGGTAATAGAATCCTCTTGTCATCCCAAAGGTTAGCCTTTAGTTCCCTTAGGTACTGGACAGCTAGACATCTAGAGTACTTCTAGTCTCGTGAGTTTAGTCGCAGATGCTCAGGCTGTGTTTGGTATCGTAGTCCTAGCGGGCCAGGTGACCCCAAGCCCCTAACCCTAAACCCTAAACCCCAAACCCTAAACCCTAAACCCTAAACCCTAAACCCTAAACCCTAAACCCTAAATATGCAGGTGAAGGCGCCAGAAAACGGCATTCTTGAGAAGATCGTGGCTCAAGCAGATGAAACCGCATCTCGGCTTGAAAAGATCGTTCACCAAGTCTCTTGAAGTACCCGGGCTTGGGGTTTAGGGCTCCCTCCCTTTGCCACCCTTCCCCCCCACCCCTCCTCCGCCCTCCCCCGCCCTCTCCCGGTAGGGTTTCAGCATTTTGGGGATACTTTCTTCTTTTTGTTAGGGTTGTAGGTTTTAGCCATTCCGGTTATCCCGACCTCCCAGTCCCTTGCTTATGGTCACATGAAAGTTGTAGGGCCCATATTTTCGGGGCAAGGGGCACCAGATAGGCCCTAAGCTCTCAACCCTAAACCCCGCATTCGCATCCCCAAGGGGGTACCTTTATTCCCCTGTTTAACGGGGCCTTAGGTTCCCTCCGTCATAGCGGCATGAACCGCTAGCCCTTTGACGAATCTCCTTTACACCCTAAACCCTTCAACCCCAAACCTTGAGCCGCAAGCCCTAAACCCTAAACCCTAAACCCTAAACCCTAAACCCTAAACCCTAAACCCTAAACCCTAAACCCTAAACCCTAAACCCTAAACCCTAAACCCTAAACCCTAAACCCTAAACCCTAAACCCGACGGCCTTCAGGGCATAGGCTGTGTGGTTTGAGCAAGTTTCGGGCTTAGGCTGCAGTGTTTGAGGCTTTTCTATGGGTGGTTTTATGGGCTCTTAACTTACCGGTTCTGATGTATGGACCCTGAATTTGTATAGGGTATATAAGGGGTATAGAAGGGGTCCCCTTGTAAGGGCTCATACTATGGGACCAAGCAACTAGCCTAAGAGCTTTCGGTTTAGGGTTTAGGGTTTAGGGTTTAGGGTTTAGGGTTTAGGGTTTAGGGTTTAGGGTCTAGGATCTAGGGTCTAGGGTTTAGGGTCTAGGGTTTACGGTTCAGGGTTTAGGGTTTAGGATTAGGTGCTTA